GTAATATGTAAATAGAATTTTAGAGGGAGCTCAATGCGCCCTAATTTTTTTAAAACAAATTAGTACACTTTTAGCTATTTTTAAAATTACCAGAAAGTATACAAACCTTAAAAAATTAAAATCCCAGGTTGCGTTTGGTAGAGTTTTCTAAATATGAGTTGTATTTGAGTTTGTGAGTTTTGGAATTATGATTTAAGTGTAGAAAATTTGTTTAATGAATGAGTTTTGAAAAAAGTTTTTGAATTTAGTGATGTGACATAATTTTTATACAAAAACTTACAACTCATAACCAAACACACAATCCAAAATTCTATTCAAAACTCATAAAATTTTTTTAAAAAAAATTGAATTTTTTTTTATTTAACATATAAAAATAACAAGTGCAAAAAAAAAAAAAAAAAAAAAAAAAAAAAACACCCCCGGGTGATGTGACATAATTTTTGATACAAAAACTTACAACTTATAACCAAACACACAACCCAAAATTCTATTCAAAACTCATAAAAAATTTAAAAAAAAAATTGAATTTTTTTTTATTTAACATATAAAAATAATAAGTGCAAAAAAAAATAAAAAAATAAAAAATCAAGAACACTATTCCGGTCAACCGGCCGGACGTCCGGGGAGACATTCGGGTACACAAATTTTCAAACGCGGGTGTGAAAATGTGTTTTGAAAACCGTCAACAAACGCCGCACTCAAACTAAAAGATAGAATCATGATTCAAAATATGTACCAAACACAACCCTAATTTTTCTTTTCACTCATTCCCTTCTCCAACATCTCCGTTGGACAACCACAATTGCTGCCTCTATTGCTGTCGTTAGAGCCAACCTCTGTTCCACTCCTTATCACTACTTTCTAGGTCGAGACAATAGACCAACTTACGAGCTAGCTTCGTTGGGAGGCTCATATAGTTTGTTACATCAATTCCAAAAGAATAAGTTGTGTACCTTTCGGGCCATCAAGCAAAAGAAGAAATATTCTTTCCGCTACGATATAGTTTTCGTTCTTATCAGTAAGTCTATCACACTTCAAATTTTGACATCCGAATGGATTAAGAAAAGCCCTCCCATATAGATTTTATTATAGTGCTCTCAGTCATGTCAAATTTAACAATGCCTAAGCCTAAAACTATATAGAATAAAGATTGCTCCAGGCTATCCAAACTTCCAATTCGATTATTATCTCAAAATGTTGAGTTAGGTATGTAAGCTATGTATCTAAGAGGATCTCCCAATTCACCAAAGACTAGCTTCCCTCCTAACAGAACAAGAGACAAGGTCTTTTTTCATTTTTTTCATTTCGCCCCTACTTTGTTTCCATAATTTCTAAGGGCCTCACAAGTTGGCCTGACATGCAAGCTCTTGTGGTCTAATGGGTTAGCATTGCAATCTAAGTTTCAAACCCTAAGCTTAGGCCTAGCCCAAGACACATTCGAGTGGCCTATCTCAGGCTGGGGCCGCAAGCCATCAAACCAAATGATAACCCTTAAAACACCTCATGACATTGGAATCCCGGAAGTAAGTTGTCCCGTATAAGAATCAAACACGTGGCATAAATGAAAATAAAAACACCCTTACTTAAGTTGTGTTCTTTATATTTATCTTATTCACAAAAACATATACCAATCATATTTGCATATTAATTCAATAAATATTTGTAACTTTTACCAAAAAATGAACATGTAAAAATTTATAAAATGCTTGATAATATGTATAACATATATAATAAATAGGGGAATATTAAAAAGGTTGTGAGTAGAAAAAAATGATGATAGTATAAATCTTTATTGTATAAATTTATGCATGAACCACTTGTCCTTCCATCATTTTAAAATTATTTTGCCTACACTTTATTTTTTTGAAATTCTCCTAATAAATATGGACACTCTCCAAAAACACTCTTTTAAGATACTTGTACAAATGATGCTTTCACACACATGTACTTGGCAAATCAATTACTTCCACTAGAGTTCCTAGGAAAATGAATTTGTTCACAACGATATGTACTATTTAGTCCAAAATTGTGTACTGGACTCTAAATTTGTATTTAACCTCATCAAAACTAGTGAGCTCTACAATTTCAAACCAATTATGTGTGTTTTGTTTATATATTTTTTTGTCATGTGTGAACAATTTCAGATTTAAAATTACCTACTACCTCATCAGATCTCATCTAATCACTCAATCTATCAATGTGTGCCACGTGTCTAACATTAAAAAGCATTCTCAACAACCAAAATACCCTTGTATCTTTCAAAAATCTTACATATTTCAACCCCCGGTCTTAGGGTTGGTTTGGCAAGTTCAAAATAATTTAAAAAGCTAAAATGTTATACAAAATGTAAAAAAGACAATACTATTCATAAATAAAAAATATTAAAAAAATATTTTATATATTTTTATAATACAAAAGTTTGATAGATGCTGTCAGCCGTACTTGTGAAGCAGGAAGGCCATTATACACTTTTTGACTTTTTGGGGCAAAAAAAAAATAACATAGGTAAAGGCACAAAGTTTGATGCTAATGTTGAGCCGTTGGGGGCCTACTAAGGGTTCCATTTTGATAATCCGAACCGTTCAATATGTAGAACTCGTCGAGTAATATATACCTGTAAAAAATCACGTTGATAAGATATCGTTAACTATATGATCAAATCAGTTTTGTATAAACAAAACGGATGGTGTGATAGTTAACTGTTGAAAAAAACTAATCCGATCATATAGCTATTGATATCCGATCAACGTGATTTTTTATAAAAATATAATACTCGACGAGTTATATATATTAAACGGTTCAGATTATTAAAATGGACCCATGATGGCCCCCACGGACCGACTATCACTCTCCAAACACTTTGCTCCGAAAGAGGCAATTATTTTCTAGGTAAGACATTCTACTATATACTTTATTTATACAATTTTTTATTACATATTTTTTCGTAAAAAAATAAAAAGTTAACTTAAATATCCATCTTTTTTTCCTCAACTTTTTAGTTCAAAAAGATAAAAAATACGCTTATTTAAGACACTCCAAACAACTGCTTGGTTGTATGCGGTGGGAAAACTTCATTTTATAATGACCCATTTTGGAAAGTATAATTTAACTTTAAGGTGTTAAACAAAAAATGCCTACAACTAAGGAAATATGTTAAATCTTGTAAATATATTTATAACATTAAATTTCTATGAAACTCTTAAAGAACGCATTGAATTTCTCTAAAAACATTTATCTGGAATTATCCAAACATGATCTGGCAACAACGACACTTATATTATCTGATCAATCAAAATATGATCTGGCAATAATGGCACTCATGTAATTTGACCATGTATAATACCATCTTGCTTGTTTTCATTTTTCAGAAAACACTTTTCAAAAAATTCTACGTTCTTATTTTCGTATTTTTTTGTTTTTATTGATTTTTTAAAAATATTTTGAGCAATTTTTTTACTTTTTAGAGACACCTAACATAAATACATCTAAAAAGTAAAAAAATTATAAAAAAAATCTTTTAAAAATCCAGTAAATACCAAAAATATAAAAAAAAATACAAGAATTCAGTACATTTTTTGTATTTTTATGTATTTATTAATTTTTTAAAATATTTTTTCACAAATTTTTTACTTTTTAGATACATCTAACTAAGGTACATCTACAAAATTAAAAAAAATGTTTAAAATTTAAAAATTATTCACTAAAAACAAAAGAATACGAAAACTAAAAAACTTAATTTTCAAAAAAATTTAATCCAAAAAACTCAAACCAAACACACTGATTGTTATTTTTTTCTCGCTTGCTATTTTTCTTGTATTTTTAGAGTTAACAATTCATAGAAAATAAAATCTTTTAAAAAAAATAATTTAAGGTAGCATGAGACAATAAAGAAAATGCGATATACAAATTTAATAAATATTGTATTACTCTAATGGCATGTTTGATTGGAATGATTAAAGCATGGGATTGGGATTATTAATCCATGGGCCCAATCATCCTATGTTTGTTATGACATTTTGGTTTAGGATTATTAATCCAATGGATAATTAATCCAACAAATTTGTAGGATTATTAGTAATGGGGTAGGGATGGAATAGTTAATACCACACTAATTTAATAGGATTATTAATACTTCACTATTAGTGTTGTGAATCAAACATGACCTAAGGACACAAAGAGTTAAGTCATGTCACCCCATCTAAATCCGTAGGATTGTCACACCACATTTGACATGAGGCATTTCAAATCTTTTCTTTCTCAGATGCGCCTAGTATAAAATTATCTAGAAAGTTTTTTAAAAAAAATTAAAAAAATATATATATAAACAAAAAGTCAATTTTTTTGTTGTTAGTAGCCTTTTTTAAAAAAATTATTATTATTTTTTAGATTTGTCTAATCTAGCAGACTTAAAATTGGAAAGTTTTAATTTTTTTTGTTAAAAAAATCCACTAAAATTATTTTAAAAAAAGTAAAAGGAAAAAACTAATTAAAAACAATTCTCAAACACATTCAATCAGATATCATTATAGAGATTTAAGAATAAAGAATCATTGCCAAAGCTCAAATAAAAAGCAAAGAGCAAAATTTTAAAGTTGGTTTATTAGCCAACCCACAAACTAACAAAACAATTTGCCAAAAAAAATAAGAAAGAAAAAAAAAAGTTAAGACAAAAGGGGATGAACTTCATACTCCAAAGTCTTAAAAAAAAAACACACACACACACACAATTTATATAGTAATTATCTGATACATTCTCAAGAAAATACTAATTCAATTTGGAGCTCTTCTATGCTTCCATTCCATCTATATAACTCCCACAAACTATCATTACCAAACAAAACATATGTTGTAGGTAATGAAGAACACACTCTAAGGATGCCTTAGAAAAATCCATATACAACAACTTTCAAATTTAAATATAAAACATAGATATTACCTTTTATTTATTGGCCTATGGAAGATATTCTTTCTAGTCTTCCTTCTTCTCTTAAACAAAGCAACTAGAAGTACATAGGCATGTTGGCAAACTCATTAACAAAAAAATCATCTTCATAGTTCACAAGAACATCATAGTCTTGAACAGACAGAAAGCCCGGTTCAGTGACTTCAAAATCCCGATTTTCAAGAGGAGTCGGACTTTCTTTGGCCACTGAAGGGGCTAAAGAAGAAGGATCAGAGGGTGGCACAGTGGTGGCATTATCAAGAATATTGGTGACAGTGGGCTCAGCCTGTTTGAGGATCCATTCGATGGTCTGACCACTGGTTCGATGGCCGAGGATTTGATTAAGCCGAAAGACTTGCTGAGCACATACAATCGGAATGCGGATACGACGACCTCGGCCATTCACCTTCAAATGGCGGTCCTTGGACTTGGATGGCTTCTTATGGGTTGGTTGTGAGGTGGTGGTGGGTATGGTTGCAGAGAGGTGGTTTGAGGAGGTTGAAGGACTCATCTTTAATCTTTTTCTTTCCTATGTACACAGACTAGAGATGGGATTTGCAAATAAATAGAGAGAAATAAAGTAACTAGGGTTTTATTGGTTCAACCCAAATGGTTAGTCATGGCCTAATTAAGGTTGTTTTTGGTTTAACCCAAAGTGTTCATAAATCTTTCATGATCATTTTTATAAATTTTTTTTCATGATTCCTGACTTTTCTCTCTCTCTCTATATATATATATGTATAAGGGAAAAGTTAGAGATCATGAAATTTTTTTTATGAAAATGATCATGAAAAATTTATGATCCTTAGATTACTTTGATTAGTGTGTGATATTTTATTTGTAATTCAAGGATCACAAAACTTTCATGATTATTTTTATAAAAAGTTTTTCATGATACCTAACATTACTGTATATATAAACCTACAATGCAATACATTTTGTCATAGTTTTTTTATTCCCAAATTGTCCTGAAATAGCCTCACTTTTTTATTTTTTTATTTTAAATTTTAAATTTCAAATTTCAAATTTTTGTAACTTTATATATATATATTTTTTATTTCTCGATCTACTTAAGTTTGTCATTGCTTTTTCATTCTCAAATTATCCTACAACTAAGCCTTTTTTTTTTAATTTTTAAATTCATATTTTAAATCTTTATAATTTCTTTTATTTTTTCACTTCATCTATATTTTTTTTGTCAATCAGTAAAAGATTCGATTTTAACTGGTTTTCATAATACACCACCGGGTAAGCACACCTTCTAGTATATATATTTAAGATTTATTATATTTTAAATCCCTAAACTATCGTCAAACTATCTACTTAGGCCTTATTTGGGGACAACATATTTTAGCTAAAAAGTCAAAAAGTCATTATAAATTATCACATCACTCTCTCTATTTTTCTACATATCTTTTCGTAAAAAATAAAAAAATTATTAAAATAGGCTATTCCCAAACGAGGCCTTAGTTCCTCAACTTTTGATTATGTCCCTAAAGTATATAAATCAAAATCTATTTAGTTCTTAAATTATTAATTGAATATATTAAGTCCCTAAAATATTTAATTCAAACCTATTAATTAGTCCCTTAAAGGATTACAAAATTAAAATATAAGCCCATAAATATTATAAATTAGTAAAAGACCATATCTAGTTACAGTTCTATTTCAAAAAACCTTTAATTTTTATTCTGTTTTTGAAAAGTGAGCATAAATTCTTTTTATTATTTTAATTGATTGTTTTTAAGTTTTTCACTAAGTTCTTTTTATAACTAATCAATGTATTATTTTATTCTATTTTTATTTAAATTTTCTAATTTTACTTCTTCAATATATCTAATATTCATATAATTTTATTGGCAAGACTAAAAAACTAGACTTTAATACTAATTTAAACACACAACAAAATAAAATACTTCTTAAAGATAAAATAAAATTTTAAGATTTTTCTGTAATAAAATCTTAATTATGTAGGGTATTTTACTAATTTATAATATTTATGAGCATATATTTTATTTTTGTAATATTTTTAGGGTCTAAATAGTTTTGAATTAAATACTTTAAGGATTTAATAGATTCAATCGATAGTTTAAGGATTAAATAGATTTTATTTATATACTTTATGGACTGAGTAGATTCAATCAATAGTTTAGAAATTAAATAGACAATCTTGTTTTGAGAAGTAGGTTAAAAGCTAACTTTTTGATTTTTTTGAAAAAACATGTAAAAAATTAGAAAAGTGGTGTGACTCAAAAAAATTAAAAAATCAAAAAACTGATTTTTAACCAAGTTCCTAAAAGAGGCCAATAGTTTAGAGAGCAGAAAATGTAATAAACTCATATATTTATTCTATTAAATAAATGTACAAGTCAATTAGGTATGAATTTTGTCACAATTTTTTTTTTTTTTTTTTTTCAAATTGACCCTATGTAATTGCTTAGATTTTGATTTTGATTTCAAATTTCAAATTTTAGATTTTGATAACTTTTCTAGTTTTCATCTTCCTCCACCTGTATTTGTTTGTTAAATTTGTAAAAAGTTTCTTCGTCTACCTTCAATCGATAGATTTTTATAGGTCTACTCACCTTCTTGTATATATATAAGTTTATGATGAACATATATAAAAAGTCTATAGAAATAGAAGACATGACTATCTATATAATAAGGGGGAAGGTTTTTGAAAATGTATAAAATGTATGTGAGATACATTTTGATCCAATGGCTCAGATTAATCCAAGTTTATATCAATGGTTTAGATCAATGGATCTCCCGTCCAAACAACTCTTTGCTCTCTCTCCCACGTCTAAGCTAAACACATATGCTCTACACATTCTCTCTCATCCTCCTCCTCCTCCCAACAGCATTTTCTTCACACTTTTCTTCTCTATGGCTTACTACCTCCTCCATTGTTAGTGCGATCAGATCCGATCCTCCACCCCTCTCCACGTCGTCACTCTCTCCGAACTCGCTGTCATCGCCTCCCTCATCGCTTCCTTCATCTACCTCCTTAGTTTTTTCGGCATTGGTTTCGTCCAATCCTTCATCACCCGTGTTTCTCACAACTGCTTCATCCTTAAAGAAGATCGCTGCCTCCTTTCTTGCTCTTCCTCCGCCTTCGCCGTTCTTCATTGCACCGTCCCCCTCCTGTGCCCAAACTGATGGATCTGCCGCATGTGAATCGTCAAATCGGTGTGATTTGGGTTTGATTGGTGTGATTAAGAGGAGGAGAGAGAGACACAGCGTCTGGGTCTGGGTGCATGAGTGCTGTTTTTCAACTCTTTGATTTCCATCAGTTTTAGTTTGCATTGCACTAATAAGTACCCCCTTTTAAGCCTGATATTGACGCTTTTTTTCCTGAAGAACCCACTCTCCTCAAAGGTAAGTCTCTCTCTCTCTCTCCATGGGAGCAAATGTTTTCCTAAATAATTTTGGAGACAATGTTTCTGCAAGAGAATTGCAATATCTGTTTTTCTCCAGCTCACAGCACATACACACCATTCTGTTGTGTTTCCCTCCTCCCCCCCTCAGGTGCTCCTTCTACTGTTTTGAATTTTTGAAATCTAGTAGAACCTCAGTTGTTTTCTGGTGATTCTATCCCCCTCTGTTAAATCGAAAATTAATTTCTATTCAATCAAAGAAACAAGAAAATTTCAGGGTTATTTTAGTTGTTTTCAAGGTGTGATGTGAATATATTGTGGTATTGAATAAATTTGGCCCTTTTAAAGTTTTTTAAGTTGTCCTTTTCATTCTTTTTATTTGTAATAATCTGAAAAATGTAGTTTAACTTTGTTTTAGTATGTATTGTTTGCTCTATTTTGGTTTTAGTTGGTGAAATTTGTCCTCAGCTTAAGAAGGTCTTGATGGAATTGGTTTGGGAAAAGTTTCATTTGAAGTTAGAGTTTTGAATTGGTTTCATCTAAGTACTTTTTAACTGTTGACAATGTAATGTTCAAGGTACCTTTAATTTTGAACTTTTTTTTTTAAAATAAAAAAAAAGCTTTATTTAAATTCTAAAATAGAAATTATTTATTTATCCAATCTTTTATTTGTTACTGACACAAAACTGAACCCTATTCTCTTCCAACAGACACTTCCTTGCTATTTTTCAACTGCACGCCTCTGGAACCGTGTGCCAAGGTGAATCATCACCATTGATTTTATTGCAGTATGATATTCAACAGACACTTCCCATCTATTGTATGCTTTGCAATATGCATACCATATCTCTTACATTTTGTTAGTTTGGCTGAGATCATTCCAAACTTTAGATCCAACGATTAAATAGATAAGTTGGACAATGTGTCGTTGCCTAGACTTTCATTTCTGAGATAAGTCACCCTCACCAACTAGCTAATGATGAACTGTGAAGTCCATAAGCTAATATGTCAATTAACTCTCAGTTAAATAAAACTAGAAGTATTTTGTTTGTTGTTTTTCTCTCATTTGGCATTGCCATTGCCTAATAAAATGAGCAACCATCATAATGTGAGTAGAATATATAGAACTTGGGATAACAACCATATCAATACATTCTCTCTCTATATTTTTGTGTGTGTAGAAAAAGACATCGTGCTGCATTTTGTCAAGTTACAGCTGATAACGAACATGGTTATAATATAAGCTAAATGGTAAAATTGTCAAAAATGCTATCGAGTTTCCCATATTTTAATTGTACACTGTAAATAATTATAAGCATTCTATTTGAGGGGATAAATGGTTGTTGGAGGCTACACAAGACCTGGGATTGAATCATGGAATAGTAAAATAACAAAAGGTGATTAACATTTATATGGTAGTGGAAAATAATTCATGGTTATAATACTAGATTTGTTAACAATCTGACTTCAAATAATTAATTCTCTCTCTCTAATTATTTATTGTAGAGTTGGAATATCTCACAGCATTCTATTTTGTTTTTTTTAAATGGATTGGTTTTCTTTTGGTAAATATATTATTTATTGCTTGATTGCTTGATTTTACTTTATCTTTTGATTTGTTTGCTTGCCAGGAAATCTTGAGATGATTTTTGGATCTCAATGCTTGAGATTAGTAAAAACGGACCTCTCTTTCTCGAAGTTGCCATTGAGACTGAGTTTCTCTATCATATTTCTTTGTAATCAAATTTATAGTTTTAGTTTAGAATTAAGTTTCACTTATTTTGTTAATTTTTTTTATGTTTATTTTTATTTTAATTGATAATTTATTACTTGATTTTATTTTGTGTTTTGGTTTGTTTGCTAGGAAATCTTGAGATGACTCTTGGATCTCAATGTTTAAGATTTGTAAAAACGGACCTCTCTTTCTCAAAGATTCCATTGAGACTAAGTGTCTGTCGGGTTTCTATGCAATCAAACTTATAGTTTTAGTTTACTTGGAATTAACTAACCAGTATTTTGTTTTGAAATCAGACTAAGTGTCTGTCCGGTGCTTTCCTGTCGGAGCCCAACCCTTGCCAGCGACCGAACCCCAAACCCCCTATTACTCTCTTCATCTCCTCTCTTCTTCCCTCCC